ATTTTTTAATCTTTTTTTACCCCCATTTTCTGGGTTATTTCCCTTATTTTCTGGGTATTTTTCACCCCCATTTTTTGGGATTATTTCCCTCATTTTTGGGGTGTTTTTCACCCCCATTTTTTGGGTTTATTTCCCTCATTTTCGGACATTTTCCACCCCCATTTTTTACCTCTCCCACCCCCATTTTTTTGGGTTTATTTCCCTCATTTTCGGACATTTTCCACCCCATTTTTTGGGTTTATTTCCCTCATTTTCGGACATTTTCCACCCCATTTTTTGGGTTTATTTCCCTCATTTTCGGACATTTTCCACCCCATTTTTTGGGTTTATTTCCCTCATTTCCGGACATTTTCCACCCCGATTTTTTTTTATTTTTCACCGACACCCCGGCCCCTCCCCCCCGGATTTTGGGGGGATTTTGGGGTTTTTTGGGGTTTTTTTTGGGGTTTTTGGGGTTACTGCTCGCCCTGCCACCAGTGGTAGAGCTGGTCCGTGAGGATCCCGCCGTACGTCACCGCCGCCGTCACGCCCTGCTCGTACGCCGTCCTGGGGCAAAAACCGCCGGTTTTGGGAAAAATCCCGGTTTGGGGGAAAAAACAAACAATTTTGGGGAAAAAAAACCAAATTTGGGGAAAAAACCCCAAGGTTTTGGGGAAAAAATCCCATTTTTGGGGGAAAAAACCCCAAAGATTTGGGAGAAAAAAATTCAATTTTGGGGAAAAAATCCCAATTTTGGGGAGAAAAAATCCCAATTTTGGGGAGAAAAAATCCCAATTTTGGGGAAAAAAAAAATCCCAATTTTGGGGAAAAAAATCCCAATTTTGGGGAGAAAAAAATCCCAATTTTGGAAAAAAAAAACAAAAACACCAAATTTGGGGGAAAAAACCCCAAAGTTTTGGGGAAAAAATCCCATTTTTGGGGAAAAAGCCCCAACGATTTGGGAGTAAAAACCCCAATTTTGGGGAAAAAAATCCCAATTTTGGGGAAAAAAAATCCCAATTTTTGGGAAAAAAATCCCAATTTTGAGGGAAAAAAAAACAAATTTGGGGAAAAAAACCCCAAAGTTTTGGGAGAAAAAACCTCAATTTTGGGGGAAAATCCCCAAAGTTTTGGGGAAAAAACCCCAAAGTTTGGGAGAAAAAAACCTCAATTTTGGGGAAAAAACCCCAAAGTTTGGGGAAAAAATTCCCAATTTTGGAGGGTTTGGGGTGAATTTTTTGGTTTTTTTTGGTGTTTTGGACGAATTTTTTGGGGTTTTTTTTTTTTGTTTTTGGGTGAATTTTTTGGGGGTTTTTTGGTGTTTTGGATGAATTTTTTGGGGTTTTTGGGGTGAATTTTTTGTTTCTTTCTCTATTTTTGGGGGGATTTTTTATTTAATATTTTGCTGAATTTTTGGGTTTTTGGGGGGTTTTTGGGTGAATTTTTGGGGTGTTTTTTTAGGTTTTTGGGTGAATTTTTTGGGGTTTTTTTTTTTTTGTTTTTGGGTGAATTTTTTGGGGTTGTTTTTGGGTTTTTGGGTGAATTTTTTGGGGTTTCTTTTGGGTTTTTGGGTGAATTTTTTGGGTGTTTTTTTTGGGGTTTTGGGTGAATTTTTTGGGTGTTTAAAGGGGATTTGGGGGATTTTTGGGGAATTTTTTTGGGGATTTTGGGGGGATTTTGGGAATTTTTTGGGGGGAATTTGGGGGAAAATTTTGGAGATTTCTTAGGAAATTTTGAGGGAATTTTCAGGGAAATTTTGGGGATTTTTGGGGGAAATTTGGGGTGTGAGGACCCCAGATTTTTTTGGGAGGGGATCCCCAAAATTTGGGATATTTTGGGGGTGCTTATGGCCTATTTTAGGGACATTTTAGGGCTATTTTGGGATATTTTTGGACATATTTTGGGGATATTTTGGGGCTATTTTAGGGACATTTTGGGGGCATTTTTGGGCTATTTTGGGGGAATATTTGGGGATATTTTGGGGATATTTTGGTGATGATTTTGGGGTTTGGGGTTTTTTTTTAGGGTTTTTGGGTGCATTTTTTGGGTTTTTTTGGTGTTTTGGATGAATTTTTTGGGTTTTTTTGGGGTGAATTTTTTGTTTCTTTCTCTATTTTTGGGGGGAATTTTTGTTTTTCTGGTTTTTTTCCCATTTCGGGCTGTTTTTGGGTCCTTACCGGATGCGGCGCGGGGCCGAGGGCAGGTCCAGCCCCTCCAGGAGCGTCCCCGCGGCCGAGCCCACCTGGCCCAGGTACCCCCGGAGCTGCCCCAGCGCCCCCGGGGGGGGAGGGGCGGCCAAGGGGGGAGGGGCGGCGCCGGCTGCGGGAGGGGCCCGGGTTTAGGGGGGGTTGGGGGGAAATTTGGGGTTTTGGGGTGAAATTTGGGGGTTTTGGGG